TGCTCTAGCCAGCATGACCAGTGGCCATGCCAACTGGGGGTTTCTGGGAGTTACAGCCTGCAAAGATAACATTTCAAGGGTCTGGATTTCAATTTGTGCTTATTTCTGTGTTGTAAGCTCTCCCAAAGAGATCCAGCATGATGTAGTGGTTTGAACATTGGACTAGGACTCTGGAGACCAGGGCTCAATTCCCAACTCACCCATGGAAATCCACTGGGTGACACTGGGCAAGTCGCATACTTTCAGCCACAGAAAACCCTATGATAGGCTTACCTTAGTGTTGCCATAAGTCAAAAATGACTTGAAGGCACATAACAACAAAGCTCACCCATAAGGCAGTTTAGATCAATACAGCAAATTAAATACACATTTGTGCTTTTATTCTGCATGTGCACAGCATAGATCAAAATGAAAATTGACAACTTGAAGAACTACTATTAGTCTTGTTGCAATTTGTTCTCACAGTATATCCAATACTTTTCTGAAAGTAGCAACCAGGCATCCTGGGAAAGGGGTTGCAGTTTGGTCTTGAAGGACAGATGAGGATACCCATAGATCGTACATGTCTTAGAAACCAAACTATCTCATATAATTTTCTTGGGCATCTCTACTGGTGAGCCATTGTCTTCAAACCCCTTCTTCTCTCCCCCCGCCATTATTTTGCCAAGAGGTAAAGCCCAGAAACACCTACTACCACAAAGCATCCTGTTAGGATATTGTTAAGCAATTTTGTTTTGATCATACTTTTATATTTTTACATCTTTTTTCCAGCTTGTGAGAAAAAATGGAAAATAAGTTAAAGCTTGCATGACTATTTTTTCTCATCTGTGTGAGACCTTTGGTTTAAGACCATCACAAATTGTTTTCTGTAGCACTCTGAAGACTTGAATTTTATTTGGCACAACCTTTCATGGATTCCAGCCCATTTTATCATATACTTCCAATGAAGTGGGCTGGAGTCCCAGAAAGCTTATGCCTGATGCCAAAACTAGTTTGTTAAGGTGCCATAGGTTTCTTATTTATGCTGTGACACAGGTACTTGTGGTCTACTAGGACTCCTAGATTCCTTTCACATGGTACTATAACTGTTTCCAGTGCACCAAAACGTGATGCCATGGCACACTTGAGGGGTGTGGCCATATTAGTGCTATATCTATGGAGTTCATCACATAGGAGGCATGTGCCCACATCCCATTAATAAATGGGCATTAAATCCTGTGAATATCCTGCAAGAATGGGATTATTTTCACACAACATTGTCATTATCCTGGAATTACCCCATGAATAAAGTGGCAAAATTGTGCCGCTTTTCATTCACGGGAAAATCCCATGAATGAAAAGCGGTGTGATTTTGTCGCTTTATTCATGGGGGCTTCCCTCCCATGTTATAAACTCCTAAGACTCACATTCCCACCCCACAACAATTCTCCCTAAACTTTCTTCCTTAGCTGTTTGCAATCCCATCTCCCAACATCTAACTGCTCCCCCCACCACCATCCATGCCACTTTTAGTGCTCTGTGTTGAAGCTTCTCCACTGGCATTCTTGAAAAATCCCCACTTTTTAAAATGCATTATTCCCTTAGCCACTTGCAAAACTCCACTTAAGTCCCAAAATCACCATTCTGAACCTCTCCTTTGCCCTCTTAACACTCACTTCTGTCCATTTTTCTATAGCTACCGGTAGCTATTTTTGCACTTGCTAAAGAAACACATATGACTCACAGAAAATTCATGATATTTTAGGCTGGCATTTGGCTTCCACTGTAAGGGGGTTAGTGAAACACCTACACAATTTTCTGGGCCTATGTTTAACTAAACCACTGTTTCTTAATTGCTTGTTGCCTTCTAAACCTTATCAACATTAATCTATTCAGGAAATATACCTCTAACGCCTCTGAGGTGTTTTTGGAAGACATTGTTTGATGTATCCTTTGATTCATCTAAAACAAATTTACTCATTGGTTAAGCACCTGTGTTTTTAATCACCAAATTGCCTAAGCTCACAAGTTGCCAAGTAGGCTGGGATGGTCACGGCTTGATGTATAAAAGATCCCTGCCATGAATCTTTTAAGAACTGTGTATCTGATGAAGTGTGCAATAAGACATCCATCCTCATTAAAACTTGTCAATAGTGTTGCCAGCTTTTCAAAATAGTAACAAGGAACAATCAAAATTCATGACATGTAGGGTCAACAAACAGGGGGTAGTTATTAACACGTTTGTGTTCTACCTAAATTCCAAATAGAAGTATTGATTTCAGTTAACCTAGCCATGTATTTCTCTGAAAAGATAACATACTGTCCACATTAATAAATTACATGATGCACAAATTTCTCTTTGTGAATGGCCCACACCCCATTATACAAGATTTTTGGCATCTTGTTCAGTCTACATACATGGAAAAGCTTTTTAATCCTCAGATAGGGGATGTGGCTAATAATATGGGGCACCTGTCAGTCCTATAGGGTACAAGCTTTCCAGACCCTCAAATAAGGGACATACCTTATAGTAAGGGATACTTGGCAACCCAACTTGCCAATAAAAGTATGTTCTCCACTAATGAGGCATGACTCTTTCTCCAGTGCATAGTAGAGATGTGATAAAGTTCAGAGTCCCCTCTGTCAGTGTTTTTATTTCTTTACTTATTGTTTAGTCAGATTTCATATTGACTGGATTCTCCATGCATTTCATAGCGTTGACATGTCTCTATAACATTAGCACACTACAAATATCTTATGGCCCATCTGTGTAGGAATACATCCATGGGCTTACAAATTGTGGCAGCCAAAGGGAATTACTGCATCTTATAGAGAATTATGTGGCTAATAATACAGCTCTTTAGAGGGTTATCTCTCCAGAAATAAACACTCTTCTGAAAAGCAAAATTAACTGCTGAAGCCAGCAACTCAAGGAAGCACAATGAAAAGAAAGTACATGGGCTGAAATCTGAAAGTGAGCATCAACACGGAGAGAAGACAGTCAACTAAATTACTATAGAGAGCAGGAGGGAAAAAGAAAAACTGAATCTAGCTCACTGAGATGATGAACTATGGGTGAAATATGGTGGGACTCTGTTGGATAGTGTTTGTAGTATCACTGGAAGTACACCCACCCAAAGAGATCTATATGGCTTTGAGACCTTTTGCTTCCTTTTATGACAAAATGAAGTAAATATATCACTCCATCATGGGAACATCCATCGTTCATAGAAGCAAACATAAGCAGAGCCAACTTAAGGCATTCTGTTGCCCAAGACAGAACAGCAAATGTCACACATACCTTAACATCCACACACACACAACAATGCTAGTTACTGTGTTCTTGCATCTGAAGAAACAAACCAAAACCACAAAAATCTGGTAGTAAAATACAATAAAGAAATACGTATATAAAGAAAGTAATAAAAAGGCTCCGGTTTCATGCATGACATTTAAGATCAGCACAAGGCAGGTTAAATCTACAGTCTACTCTGCACCATCCTGAACACATCCAATCTCTTCTGATTTCAGAAACTTAAGCAGGGGAAGGCCTGGTTAGCATTTGGCTGGTAAACCATTAAGGAATAACAAGGAGAAGTAGAAGGCAATTGTTCCTGAAACTCTGGAGAGCCAGGTTGGCAATAATTGTCAATAGTCTGAAAGCTGGGTCACTTTTGTGGCAGCCCCTGTGAAAGCAGAAGACAGGAGGCAGCTTCTGTGTTCCTAGATGGATATTTTAACATCATTATTTAGGCATTTCTAACTAGGCATCAAGGCCATCCACTCCCCAGAACAATAACCACAGGCAACACAAAAATAAGTCCTGGAACTTTAGTGGGTTTACAAGAGAGCTTTTGGGTTTGTGTTTTTTTGAATTAGAGTTTACAGCTCCCAGAATCCACACCCAGCATAGCCAGTATCCAAGCTAAGATTAAAAGTCATGGAGCTTGACAAATGCTGCTTTCCTCTACCATCTCTAATGTAGATATTCACAACAACTGCAGACCCATAAAACTCTCCTATCCACAAATGTTTATGGACAGAGAAGCTCTGGTGGTTTGCACTTCATTAGTTCATCCTAACCAGCAACAACCTTTCATGCCTATTGTATGGAGACAGGTTAGCCAGGTTATTTCTGCTGCTGCATCAGTTTTTAGGGAAACTACAGCACTGGGGGGGGGGGGAAGCACAGGATTTAAAGGACGTGGGGTAAGGGGCTAGCTTTAAAACCTAGCAGCAGGGTTTATGACCCAAGACTCTGAGGAGCAATGCCCTGTTGCCCCTAAGTGAGGTTCATAATAGCCAAAACCAGTCAAGCTCTCTGAACACCCAAGGCAGAAAATCCTACAACTGCAAATTTCCCATAAGAATAAAGGAAGTCACTAACATTTTTGTGCTCTTTTGTAACACCCCAAATCAAGAGGCCAAAGTAGCGGATTCAGAAGCATGAAAGACAGACAGCATCAGGCAGCCACCCAAATTACCAGAATCTCCGAAGGGTGACCATCCAAGGGAGGTTTGGGACCCTCCCAATAGGTGCTGACCACTCCATGCTCTGGGCTGTGTATAGCAACACTCATCTAATCACTAGTGGCTTCTGTATCAGGAGGGCAATGAATATACT